CCCCAAAACCCCAAAACCCCAAAACCCCATCACACCTTCATAAATAATTGCATCAATATAGATTAATGATTAAATGAATAATTTTTTATATTTTCCTAACTTATCACTCGTAAATCATTCTTTATGCACCTCAATACCTTTAATTTTAGCATATTCCTCAAATGAACCATCATAAACAGATGTATTTTCATTCCCAATACTTTTAAAAGCTGCATCAACTATGCAAGCTGTAATTCCTCTCTGACATGTAAGAATTATTTTGTCCTTGCTTGGGTCCTTGATACCCTTGCTTTAAATAATTTTGACCATATCATCTTTCTTTAAATAGCAAAAATCTTTATCCATAACTTCATCAAGAGCCAAACTGCGAGAGGTTGGAATATGCCCTCTCAGGTAATACTTGTGAACTCTTGAGTCAAGTAAAGGTTGCTATAATTCCTCAGGCTTTTGCATATTTTCTGACACTATACTATCTATTTCCTCAAATTTTCTGATTTTTGTGATATCCTTTTTGTAGTTATAATCATCAGGCTTAGCAGCTATTGTATGAATTTTTTTCCATGCAGATTCAGAGTCACCCTTCTCGATAGGTCTGCCCTCTCTTTGCCATTTAGCGAACGTTCCATTCAACAAAAATACATCCTTAACTCCAAATGTCTTGAGCATCCAGAATGCTCTTGGTGCTGAAATCATTCTGTATTTATCGTAGACTACAATCAAATCACTCTTTCTAACATCCATGCTCTTCATGATTCCAGAAAAGTATTCATCAGTAGGCATCATATAAGAAAGTGTAGTATTCTACTCACAGAATGTTTTGAAGTCAAACCATAATGATCCTGGGATTCTTTCCTTTGCATGGTCTTCCTTAGGGACATAATCTCTTCTTATCAAAGTTCCATTAAATATTACAAGTCTTTCATTTTCTGGATGATCAGGCTTCATCAATTCTGCAAGTTCATTTGTCTCAATTGTAGCTCCATTCTAAGAGATTTGATTTGAAAACAACCTAGTTGAAGTATAGAGTTATCTGAATCTATGATAGTTAAGATATGGATTCTTTAAAAGATTCATTAAAGATTTTAAGAATTATTAATTATAAATTGAATCATAATCATGCAAATAAATCAATTTGAAAACTAAGAGTGATTTAAACTAATAGACGAATTAGATTGTTTAATGGACTTTAATTCTTTCGCATAAACTTTCATCAAACACTACATCATCTTCTTAATTTACTCTCTAAATTCATATATTTAACCAGAATGGAAATATCTAACGTTTTGGCAAAAAGCATGTCTACACTAGATAAGTTATCCTTCATTTAATTGAAAGAGCTTTTAACTGTGTTCATCTTACACATATTTTCTTATGTTTAAGATCTCAATTAAGTCACATCTTCTTCTAGCATACTCATAGCGCTTAAAGTACCTTTATTTGCCTAGAATTTGCATAAAAATGTTTATTTACTATTTCTAGAGATGACATCTAGGAAATTGCTATCTATTGAAATTGTTCATAAAGTTAATTAACTTATTATTCAAGGTTGTCAAATTCATTTGAAGTCAGAGATAGCTGATCTTGACTTTCAACTTTTTCTATTTAAAATTGCTCTTAATTTTCCATTAATAATCTTTAATTTTTTAATTCTAAGATTTTAATCATTTGGGGTTTTGGGGTTTTGGGGTTTTGGGG